ATGTGTTTCATTTCATTGGACAATGATAGATGAACAAATACGATTTCTTGTACATGGGCCATCTTCTAATTGAAAGAAGTACAAATTTTGTATTTTAATTGGATAATGATACATTGACAGATATGATACTATGTACATGGGCCATTTTTAATATAATTTAATGAAATACAAAATGAAATATTAAAAAGACATCAACGAAACAATGAATGAAATATGAAATAGTTATACACTAGGAGTGCCTAAATTTATTTAGAGGTAGGGGTAACTTGGGCATTTCAAGTGGGTGAAAATGGCTTTGATAGTCACTTTTACTTGATAACTGGTGGCTCAAGTTGAATTGGTGCATAGTGAATAAATGATGCTATATTTTGGTCTACTTTGGGTTGCTGATATCGGACTATCTGATTTTAGGCTATGTTTGGTAGACATATAAGCTAGATTATAGTTTATTTGGTTAGCTTATAAGCTCTCTGTTTTCAAATAAGTCTTGTTTGGTAGGATGAGCTTTTTTAAAAAGCTCGGGCTTATTTGATAAACTTATTTAGGTAGCTTTTCAAATAAGGTAGTTGAGTTTTTTATTTCAGCTAGCTTATCAGTTAATTTTACCAAACACTTTTATCATGTAAGCTTTTCAGCTATAAATCATAATTTATAAGCTATAATGTAAAAGCTAAAAAATTACTAATAAGTTATAAGTTAGATTATCAACTATCAGCTAGTTTTACCAAACATAACCGTAGTAGAAAATGATCAATTATAAAAAAATTATAAAAAAAATATAGTATGTTATAATATTACACTTTTATGAACATTTGTTTTGAACATAAATTATAAAATTATTTTTTATGTCACCCTGTGAATATCATAAATGTACGTTGCACTGTGGTATTTTAGAACATATTTTGGCAATATCCCAGATAATGCAATTTGACCGAAATTTGTATGTAATAATTATTGAATAACCAATATAAAATTATTTAAATTAGATAAAAGCATACTGGAAATAGCTTGATTCATTACTCAGAGTTAAATTGTAATTTTATAATCAAATTACGTAATGATTCTGAATACTCGAACTTGAACCTTTATTGAACGAGGCGATAAATGAGTCCGAGGTCGATTTGTTTATCAATTAAGATGTCAAGTCTTATGGGTCAAACTCGACAGTAATGAAATATCAAATAAGGTATAAAATACTATATGAAATTTTATTTGAACTCTACAAAGTTGAGCTCACAAGTGACTGGTTCGTTAATAACTCTGGGTATACCCAATGTTTGTCTTAAAAAAAAAAAATAAAAAAATGAGCATATCCTCATATAATGCAGATTTTATCCTTACAGTTTATAGTATTATATAATTTTATAATTTATCAATAATGAATTTAAGTACAAGTCGACAAAGCCCCAACATCAATGTTGGTCCCCTCCAAACTTCACGAGACTTAGTACAATTGAGGCCATTATCTCATTGTTGAAAAAACGTGAAAGCTCACCCGATAAAGATAGGCCTTGGCTATAAATAGAAAAAGGGCAATTAAAACACTCACTTGGACCATTAAAACATTTCCAATTTTGGCACACCCTAACCACCACCACAGCCTAGCACTAGCCCACTATAAGTATAGATAGATGCCTCATCACTACACCCAAAAATAAGTTTGTAGCATTTTCAAAATATTCGATATTATCGATATTCACATCGATTTTTATTATTTTTTTTTAACCATTTAATCAACAAATTAATACTCATCTGCGTTCGAGTTTGAGCGTATAATCCCATAGTAAAAAAATTCGAATACGATCGAATTTTTGTATTTCCATATGCGCGCGCATATATATATATTTGTATGCATGATTTTCGAGTCTCGACTGCAAGGGTAGAATCGAACATTTCTCGAAAAAAAAATAAAGAAAAAAAATAAAATTGAGTAGGTAGAATGTGGTGATGGCAATAAATGGTAGTAGAACAATTCTTTTTGTTTTCCATAGTTTTTTTTCTATTTATTTACACCTCTTTGTGGTAAAGTTCAGTTAGCAGATAAGGGCTGTTTATGAGGTTTCCATGAAATGAAAAAAATGGTATACAGAGTGGATGCCAATTATGTTAAATCTTCAGCAGCTCTGAAAGGGGCATGTGATTGTACTCCCAAAAGTTTGATCCAAACTTAATTATTATGGTACAACTTCTATAAATATTTGGAGGGCCAAAGTACAACCAATCTATAAATATTAGAAGGGTCAATAGCAAATTGCTTGCCTAGCTAGGGACCAGATTATAATTAGTTTAATGTGTTCTATGGGGCTCTTAAATTAGTTTGTTAATTTGCAAATTACACCAAATAATTTAGAGAAGATGACACATGATTACATGAACTTGTTAATTCATGTCAAATTGAGCAAGATTCAATAAATTGAGTTACAAGCATGAATATTGTGCATGCTAATATGATTTAATCTCTCCACAAGAACTAGAATCATATAGGCTAAATGTCCCACATCACAATTTATTGCCATATATTTGTACCAAGCAATCTATATCATGAACAAATGAAGCTGATGATAGTAAGAAAATTTCCCAATTTTGTACTATAAAACATTTTCAAAACCGGCCCAAACTAGCTTAATTTCATGTTCGGGTTGTTGGGTCAGCAGATGAAAAAAGGAAAAAAAAAAATCCGAATTGAACGAGCTAAATGTGGATCGACTCAAGGGCCGATTGAATCACGAGTCGAGTCGACCTGCCTGATGGCATTGCAAAAAAACATTGAATGACTTCTCGTGCACAAAGAAGATGCTCTTTCAAAGTACATAAAATAAAATTAAAAAAAAAAATAAAAAAATTAAGAGAAGTATTGTATATGATTGTATTGCACAATGTGTAGTCATTTTCAATGTGGGAAAAAGGTTATTTAAAAAAAAATTAAAAAAAAATGGGAGTGTTTGGTACATAGATTTAATATTTTGATGTGGCCTGTTTGTGGATTGACACAAGGAGGAATTTGTCACTTTTACATCAGGTCCCATTTTGCACAATGTTGATGATGAGAATGCACTATTTTTTTTATTTTTTATTTTTTTTCTACTGATGTAAATTACTTAAAGATTTATTTTTTTTTATCCTTTTGTTAAATAAACATGCAATATTTTTCATTTGTTCAGGTACAAGTATATTCGTTTTGATTAAATATAGGTTGAATATACTAAATTTCTTTTGTAGTAAGCCTCTGAAAATAAGGAAATCAATTATTCTTGGTTAAACTTTAGGTAATTGAACAACAATTTTGAATACATATTCCCCTATATATATGTTGTGAGAACTATTAAACCACATGTCCATATATGTTATACCTGACACATTTTTTCTGATAGTATATATATCATGATTCAAATAGTGATCACAACACTACAAAAAAACCTCTTACATTCCAACGGAAATTTTCCGTTGGAATTCTTTATATATCCGTTGGAATAGATATTCCAACGGATATTCCTACGTATAAAAATTCGTGGGAAAAACGGCCGTTGGAATAGCTAAAATCCAACGGAAAATCCTACAACTATTCCAACGGAAAAAATCCGTTGGAATTCCTCAACCATCCAACACTTTTTCCAACATAAAATTAAGTTTGTTGGCATATTCATTGGAATTTCCAACGGAAATTTTTGCCGTTGGAATTTTTCATTGGAATTGAAGTGTTTTCTTGTAGTGCAAGAAATGTAATGTGGATGTTGATAGGGATATTAGTACCGATTCGGCCTAACGCGATAAACTCCGAGGAAGTCAGGGTAGAATAAAGTCCAAGGGTCGAACTGAGCCAAAAAGACCCAAGGGTCGACCGGTCCCAAGAGTCAACCCTCGACCCTTGACCATTAGTACCGGCCAGGGTCGAACCCAGACCCTAGCATCGACCGGGGAAAGGGTGCTCGACCAAGAGTTGATCGGCCAGAAGAGTCAAGCTTCGACCCCCGAATTATCGGGAGCTGATTACTCGGTCAACGGGCATTGAGACACGTACGAGGTCGCGCAACCAATCACTATATAAAGAATAAATTTCACAGTTGGAAGGAGAGACTTCATTTAATACACTACTGTTACATTCAATACTCATATTATTCTTCTACTCCAAGATATTGACTTGGGCGTCGGAGGGTTTTGCGCCGGAGCAATTCCAGCACTTTGCAGGTACGGGTACTCGCACGCTCGGACCGGACCGAATTAGCCAATTACCAACTCAAATCGGAGATGACCCTTTGAATGACCGGAATCTCTTATCTTGGACTATGGACTCAATATAAGCACCCTAAAATGATCATTATCATATTCCAACAAAATAATAAATGAAAAAATATTTCAATAAACATTTCAGCGAGTATTCTAATTAGAATTTGATGATTCAAACAATAATTTTTCTAATGCTTTATTATAGTAGAAATTTTCGTTCGTTAGTTTGATGATTCAAACAATAATTATTCTAATTGGAAGCAATTGCCATTGAAATCATTATATGATCCAACATATTTTTGTTAGAATTTCGCATTGAGGTTTTCAACATAAGGTTTAAAATTAATATATCTATTGAAAATTACAGTTGTATTAATTTTGTTGGAATTTGATAATAATGTTGGTATGACTAGTATTATACTACATATATGGCAAGATGTTATGGTTGTTAATTCATCACTTATATATCTTGGATTATTTGAAAATATCCTTAATCATTTACAATCAAATATAAGTCCCATGTATGTAGTTTATGCAGGCAATGTGATGCATAAATTGGTCTGTCTATTAGTACATATATATTAGAAAGGGCCAATATTAACATTAACAAAGGCCACAACATTTAACAAGGACACTGTGAAAAAAAAAAAAAA